ACTAATTATAGATTTATAAAGCTTATATCTTAAAATTCTAAACCCTAAAAAATATTTTGACACATAAAACCCCCCTAAACACTCAAAACTAAACCCTAATAGAACATAATTAATCCAAACATAAATAATATAAAAAAAAATTAATTTTGAAAAAGTGGTATTTTTGTAAAAATTTCAAAAATGTGATATTTTAGTAAAGTGACATTTGAAAAGTGGTATTTTTTGAAAATTTTCAATATAATTAGACAAACAGTTTAAGGGTTTTACGAATTGTAACTTCGGTATGCGAGGTGGTTTACTCCTAGACATCTATTATTATACAAACTAAAAAGACTTTCCACATCAGCAAAAACAAAACTCATTTTTTCAGTGGCATTTTCAGTGGCACGTGTGGCATGTGAAAAACGTTTTTTCCTAAAAGCATGATTATGAGAGCATCTCCATCCATAAGATGTAGTGGGTATCATTAGATATAAAATTATTAAAACACACATTCTCTTTTTCTTTTACTCAACTTTATACCTTCTCTTTCATCCTTTTACTCAACTTTTATTAATTTTATATTTAAACACACCCTAACTAAAGTTTAAATTCTCTCTAAAAGTATTAACCTATTGATACAAAGACACTCTCTCCAAAAGTATCAATTCATCTCCTCTTTTTACTCAAATTTTATTAATTTTATATTTCAATACACTCCATTATTTCAACCAAAAACACTTTTTTTCTTCCTTTTACTCAAATTTTAATAATTTTATATCTATTGATATCCACTACATCTCATGGATGGAGATGCTCTGAATGGTAAATAAGAGTAAATATAATAGATTTTTAATATTATAAAATTCTTATATTTACTCAAATCATTTTTGGGTTTCTAAATATATAATCTATATTACCCATATTTAGTGGGTAAATATAACATCTCTCTCCTCTTTTTCTCTCTATTCATCAATCCCAATACAATTAATACAATAAATTTCATATATTACCCCAATCATATTTACTACCTATAATCATGCTCTAAAGCGGAAAACGGGAAACCTCTCTGTATTCCTCGATGCTTCAACCTATTCTATTGATTTTCCTCTTATCTTATCAGTTACGCCTTGACTAAAACATATCCGTTGCTACAAAGCGAGCCTCCCATCGCATGCCATGAAGCTCGGTCTAGCAACCCATGTTGGATTCTCAGTTTACGGCGACGCCGAACAGGCAAATAAATTAGCGTTACAGTTCCGTAATTTCTATATCTCCTGTATTCACTTTCTCGTGGTTTCTTTGTTCATTCCCCATAAACAAAGAGGTTATTAGTAACAGAATCGACTAATCTTAGAGTAAGGAAATATCATTGACATATTATATATGAAGAATATAATATGTGCATATGTTTCAAGGACTAAGGATAAACATCAATGTTTTGCTTTTCCTCCTGATCTGAGCTTCAAGAAAATTAGATTCACAATGTTAAAATTGAGCTTTCATAAGACAATTTGAACTTTATAAGGATAATCAGTTTAAGAGAGTTTTGATATGCAGACAAAGACTTGTGTTCTACGTTTAAAGTAGAAGAATGAACAATAGAACTGGTAATAAGGCAAAATAAAGATCGAACAAAAGAGGAAGAAACTCTCTCAAGTAACACTAGTCTTACGAAAACCCTAATTGAAATCTACTCATCAATCTACTGAATCAAACGATGATTTGCAGATTAAGAAACTAGAAACGGAACAATCTCTGTAGAAGAAGGAAAATAAGCAAGTTTTCGAAATCTTCCTAAACCAGAAACCCTAATTTTTAAAGCACAGTAGATTCATTCGTTAAGGAGACTTACTTGATCTCAAAGGAACCGTAGACCCCATCAGAGACAGAGTGATGTCATCACCACCGTAACCTCTCTCTCTCTCTAACATCAATTTCTGTTTGGTTTTTCAAAGCTTGGATTTTTGTTGCAGAGATAGATACATATATATATACACAAACTAGAATTTGACCATCGCGTTTATTTTCATTGCCGTTGCGCTCTCATAATGACGGTTTATTAATTTTTAATTAATTAAGTTTCATTTTTTTCACCGTTGCATTTTAACGTTCAGATTTGTTAAATTTACCCATTCGTGATTTTGACATATGGTAAGAAAGGAAAGATGGGAAAGGAAAAAAAAAGGCCGTCTCGATGATTAAAAGTAAAGTAATGATGAGAAAAATTATTACAAGAGATTTGAGAGACTTGCACACCATTTCTACTTTCCGAGTATTAACTACGTGTCGGTTATTAGTCACAAAACAGCATGGATTTTAGT